AATTGCTTGTGTTACGAGTGGTTCACGCCAGTAGTCGAATGGCGGATTTGATCCCACGACCTTTTTGAGTTCGCGGTCCGCGCCCTACCATTAGACTACTATCGCTTAAACAAGTTAAAACTTTTTTAAAAGGAATCGTCGTTCCACCTAACCTCTGTGCAGCGTTATTTTGCAATAACCGGCACAATTTGTAGAGAAGGTTCAAAATAAGTAATATAGGCAAATAGTGAAGAAAAATTTATTAAGAACAATCTCAAACATTCTGTCCTTTTTATCTTTTAAATTAATGCGTGGTAATGCATTATTTGAACTGATTTTACTGCGCACGCACACGTTTGTAAGGTTCGATCGATATTGTTGTCCATAAATTACGTTCAATAGAATAATTTCAAATAAAAGTAGAAGCCTTATTTACTCATATTTTCAAAAACTGCAATAGTTAAGTTTAAGTATAAATTTGGCTACTCTTTGAAAAATAGCCGTATATGATGAACCTCATTATAACGAATTACCTAATTGTTATAACGTATTTTTTTTTCTAATTCCCTTCAGTTTCGTGTTGCACTGTAGTAAAATGTAGTTCCTAAAATTGTCGAAAGGTTTAATAAATGTACATCTCAATCTAATTGGGTATGATACTTAAAGTACCTAATAACATATTACTACTATGTTTTACTCTGAGGTATCATGGAATAAAGACAATATGGCGTCATTATAAATTAATATGGCAGATATGTACTAACAAAAACACACAAACTAAGAAAAAATACGCATATGTATGTTATGGTATACATAATGGCAGCCAATCAAAATATTTTTAAACAAAATTGACATTTACAATGTCTTTTTGCTTGACGCTGCCGTTCTTCGTATGGTGAGTTTAGAGAGCCGGAGACCTTTTTTAGGTACTGGAAACGAGACATTCCATATAAGTCTTCAAAGGTGACGACGTATCTGCATTTTGATTCGTAATCGAGGATAGATGTAGATGTCTGTGGGCCACAGCAAACACCATCACGTGGACTGTGTGCTCGTTTGTCACCCTGTCCTATAAAAAATTCTAATTCATATTTACGACTATAAGTATGTTAAAGATATATACAATCACAATATGATATAAAATTTGTGTATAAAATAGACATATTTAGTACTTGTACTAATAAAATACTTCATTGCAGTCGGTTCCACACGCACGAAGTTAAACTTCTTTACGACATATCATTCTTTTATAGTATATTTTACATAAGTAGGTTAAATTATAGTGTATTCATTAGGATGCTTAAGGTCGCTCAACGAGCTATGGAGAGGGCTATGCTCGGGGTTTCTCTACATAATAAACTTAGAAATGAGGATATCCGCAGTAAAAAGAGAGTGACCAACATAGCCCAACGGATTAGGAAGCTGAAGTGGCAATAGCCGGCCATATAGCTCGAAGAACCGACAATCGATGGGGAAAAAAGGTTCTTGAGTGGCAGCCACGTACCGGTAGGTGAATGATGATAGGTAAGCATTCAGCCCCGGCAGTGAAACATTATAAGAAAACGTGACTTTTTTTTTAATACCGTATGTACAAAATTTCTCCACTAGTCGCCCCTCGAAGTTTCACTTCAAAAATAACTTGTTTTTAATAAAAATCGGATCACTGTTTGTAAAAAATTCAAAAGAAGAGTTGAACGATGGTAACCGTTTTATCTTTAGGGGTTAAATTTTCGTTCCGGTTATAGTTTTTACAGACTTCGAAAAGGGAGGGGGTACTCAATTCAACTGTATTTTTGTACGTGTGTTTCCGAGAAGTTTTTTTTTTAGGTGAACCGATTTTGATGATCCTTTTTTTAATTTAGAAGCTGGTAATATACATGTGATGTTTTATTTATTTGTTTGATCAAGATCTGACTAGTAGTTTTATGGTTATCCTTAATAATGCGTATTTAACTGACTACGACTTAATTGATGATGTTATTATTTTATTTATATTGAATTCAGTTGTATAAAATTACAATAGTTTTATTTTTGAAGTTCTAATTACTATATTCTGGCAAATGTTCAAACTGTGTCAATCTTACAGGGGGGTTTTTGGTTAAGTATTTGGCTATAAAAATAAGTTTTTTATATTAAATTTTTGTTCTGCCCGGTAGAATTCGTCAGCATGTCTTAGTTCCCTGAGTATAAATCACCGTAACCCTATAATGGCCGGTTGCGTTTGCATTAGCAAAAATAATGCCCGGGTAGTTGCGACCCCAGCAGTTTATAAATCAATCAGGTTGCCCCCTTTTCTTTGCTCAGTTACGTTTATTGGTTACAGTCGAACCAAGATTACACGGGTTTACTGAATTCGATTACGAAAGTTTGTCTAGGCATATTGAGTTGGCAGTTTCTTAGTTTAGTTTTGTCTTCTTTTTTTTAAATGGAACTTGTAAAATGACTCCTTTTATGCGGTCTTTTTTTAAACGGTTTAAAATCTGCCGTTTCTTACGGATTTGTGATAGATTTAAACGAGTGGTGCAAAAATAAGCAGACTGCACTTAATACTACACTTATTGAATGATGGGTGTCTCTGCTACCTTGTTTTATAAGAGATTGCGTGATGGAAAAGACAGGGTTATGCTTTTCTATATGCGTATCTAGGTAATTATGTGGAATTTTTTGTACTTACGACTGGATGTATTTAGGACATTGATGTTTCTATCGATTCGTCTAAGCCGTGCGATTGTTAAAATTTAGGTTCTGTTTTTATATACCCAAAATGGTGGCCGTAAAATACAAAATAGCCGTAGGAACGAAAAAAATTGCGAACTACATATACTGAGTGGAAAATCTCTGAATTGGACTTACAAATTGTGGTAAAGCCACACTGCAGCTATATTATGGTTGTAACACGAAAGGGTCGGCTTGCCCAGGGCAGGACCACGCTATCACAGAATACCAGCGTAAAACAGCAGCTTGATGCTGCTGTGTTTCGTATGGTGATTATAGAGAACTGGAAACCCGTTTTACTGGAATTGAAGCATTTCATCTTAGTACTCAGGAGTGACAACGCATCTGCATCGATAGGCCACAGCATCCACTTACCATCAGGTGGACTGTGTGCTCGTTGGTCACCTTTATTCTATAAAAATATACGTAAATAAGCACTTGACACGCCACCTCTGGACAGTTCAAAAGTCATTTGACTAAAAGCATTGACGCAAAGACTTGTCGTCTATAAACGGGCACTGGAGCCTGTTACAAGCTCCTCTAATGACTCCAAAACTTACCAGTGGTAGGTAAAGGCTTATCTAATACTATTTCCTAGAATACTTTTTTGGTTTAGGTGTATTATAAGTTTCTCCGTGTTTGTTACTCTACACCCGGACTTATCAAGTCTTAGGCCGGTATTAAGTAACGATTTTTTTTAATAGAATAGGGGTGACAAACGAGCGTGCAGTCCACCTGATCATCATCCTGACATCTACATCTATCCTCGATTAAGAATCAAAATGCAGATGCGTTGTCACCCCGGAGGACTAAGATGGAATGCCTCGTTTCCAGTAAAAAAGGGTTTCTGGATCTCTACACTCACCATACGAAACACACTAACATGGTATTTTACGCTGGTATTCTGTGAGAGCGTGGTCCTTCCCCGGTCGAGCCGACCCATTCGTGTTTCAACCATAATATAGCTGCAGCGTGGCTCTACCACGTATAAAGTTGTGGTCAATTTCAAAATTTAAGGGTTCATACTGTTCTACACAAATTTTGACAATGTGGTTTATGAGTTCAACCTCGTAATTGTCTCCGAAATTTGGCCTTAGTAACGAATAGATAAGGTAACATACCTAATATAAGAGCGTTTAAATTAATGATTTCCAGTAGTTCTTAAATCAAGAACATCTCTATTAAAGAGTTCAGCTATATATACGTGCATGTTCTCATTGAGGCACTATCTCTTGTAATCGCCATTCACGGTCTATTTCCTTTTTGTTTTTATAGTTTTCAGAAACGTTGATTATGAAATGTTTGGCATCTATTTATATCTGATTTTCTAATAGGCAGACCTACGTGGAAATGCCTGAAAAAAGAGATTGTTATTTTGCTAATGTTATTTTAGATTCTTATTTGGAAGCTTCTTTTAACATCACATATTTATCGGTTTTCTGGTGGAATAATAAAACGTACAAAAATTAATAAATTATTTTTTCAATGTATGAAAAAATATTCTACCCGATTTGCTCTAATATATAAAAAAACGTGTCACAGTCCCTACTTATAATAACTTCATTTTTAATTTCATACATGTAATATATGTAAATAACTTAATTTAAATTTAAAAAAATGGCGAAGACTGATGGATTTTTTAAATCCAAATTTCCGAAATATGGTGACAATTTAACTCTGGTTCTACTGACAAGTAAATTTTTGAGGTGGTATTTTTTCGATATATGGAAAAATATTCAACCCGATTTGCTCTAATATATGAAAAAACGTGTCGCAGTGCCTATTTATAATAAATTCATTTTTAATTTCATACATATAATATATGTAAATACCTTAATTTTAATTTAAAAAATGGCGAAAACTGGTGGATTTTTTTAAATCCAAATTTCCGAAATATGGTGACAATTTAACTCTGGTTCTAGTGACAAGATAATTTTTGAGGAGGCATCTCTGCTCAAGTGAGTAATAATAATATTATTACTTTTTTTTAGTAGAGGATATTCCCCCCCCCCCCCCCGTTACCATGGCTACTGTAAAGCACCCGACACATCGGGAATAAAAAATAAGTTTTAGTCAATGTGTAGTGTTCGCGTAAATTTAAGGAATCATCAGTTTTTTTATTTAAATTATTTAAAACACAGCAGTTACCACCTACTGGTATCAACCCTGATGGACTCCTACTTAATATATTTTATTCTTGTTTTTAACAAAAAAAAATTTGAAAATTAAAGCAATGAAATTTTGATAAAAATGTATCTCAACAAAAACTTTTATATTTCAAGTTTATCCTTAATATATCTACTTACTCGGCATCATTTCCACATGTGATGATGTATCCATGATGTTATGGTGATGAAGCATGTCGGGTGGGGACTGCACCAGCCCACCACCACCGCCGCTGGCCATCACCATCACTGATGATGTGAACGACGACAAGTCTTCACGATTACGCACTAAACCACGCTTTATAGCGATGTTTATTTTAATGCTAAAACTATTTTTTTATTTATTTAATATAGAGCCTTTTTATTTGGAGATTAATAGTTAATAATTTTGTTTTATTTTTTTAATACGTAAAGTTTAATTGGTTGTCCTAGCACAAAATCACTAAAAAAATACTTTTGTTAAGGCGAGAAAAACACTTTCGGTCCGTATGCACTTCGACATTTTTTTCCTATACAAAAGATATACACACACGTCGTCCCACGGCGACGGCCAAGCCCATACTGCCGTATTATATGTATAATTCTATGGATCGACGTCAAAGCGCATGAGTGGACCTACCTTCGCTCCCATTGGTGTACTCTCAGAACGCCTGTTTATACGAGCTTCTTTGATTGGTCGCGCCCAAGCGATTTTCCCGCCCTATTTGACAGTGCCCTCAAAATGGCGCCCCCCTCGCAGCCTTCTGATGCTTTTTTGAACATTTTCTACGGTAAAAAATAACCCTGTTCGAATATAATGAGCATGATTTATGATTTCGATCCGCGGTCTCCTTCTTTTATTTTTTAATCTGTTCATGTTAATCTTTCGTGTTCGACGTGGTTTGTTTTTGATAAATCGCGTCTTGTATGTTTGATCTGGTGCGGGTCGATTTTAGCCATTTGTTTTTTTTTGACCAAGTCTGCAAGCACAAGCTGAAGTGCGATTCAGTCTGGTTAGTAATTTGCTACTCGGTAATTTCGACGTTCGTTCAATAAAGCTATTCGTCGTAACGTCGAAATTACCGAGTAGTTATTTTAATTATAATCCGCAACAAATAACTGTTACGTTAAACATGTTTTTCTTGTTATAAATTACTTACTACTACTACTACAAATTACTCAAAATTATTCGCCATTAATTTATTAGGTACTAATAATTTACTAGATAGGTACTGCATGATGGGCATAGACTTCCTCTTTTTTCTAAGGAGGTTCTAGGTTATATTACATATAATAAAACGAACTTTATAATTAAACTAAAACTAAAAAATACACAGTATTTGTACATTAATGAACAAAATAAAAATAGTAGGTGGATATGTAAGAATATTTTGTTTTATTTTAAGTCCACTTTATTACGTTATCAAGTAATTACGTAATAAAGTTACTCACAGACTATTTAGGAACGATTACTTGACTGCTGCAGTAAAACCCTAGTTTCCTAACATTCGTAGTATTAGTAATTATATTTATATTAGGTACTTACTTTAAAAATAAGCTGAAATTATAAACCTACACTTACTCTAAAATCAGGTAGGCTTTGTAACACACCGTATTTTATACGCAGGTAGAGCAATGCTGCACCTATATAGGTAGTTGTAGCACGAATGGGTCGGCTCGACCAGGGAAGGACCACGCTCTCATAGAATACCAACGTAAAATAGCAGCTTAATGCTGCTGTGTTTCGCATGGTGAGCGTATAACCGAACCGAACCGGAGGCCCATTTTTAGTATAACCAAGGCGTTACATCCGGCATTTCACATGCCTCAGGGATGACAACGTATTCATATTTTGATTCTAAATCAAAGATAGCTGTAGGTGTCTATACAGGCTACAGCATCCACTTACCATCAGGTAGACTGTGTGTTCGTTTGTCAACCTTATTCCTTCAAAAAATCCACATGTATAGGCTTTGTAAACAATTTATGTTTAATATAAAACGTATAATATACATTTAGCACCAAGTCACAGGTGCACCCTTTATTCCCTAACCCTCATAGTTCTATGAGCCAGCAATCCGTGTTTTCCGAGGCACGAGGGTGGGACACCGCCATCTTCCTGAGTCCGGGCTACTTCTGAGAACTTTTTAGATAAAAACTCTACTTAATAACTAATTTTTTGGCTCGATCTGGGATTCGAACCCAGAATCAGCCTCATGACCAGCAGATAGGTGTACTACCACTAGACCAACAAGGCATTAGGGTGACAAATGATCCACACAACTATCCTCGATTAAGATTCAAAACGCAGATGCGTTGTCACCCGTGAGGACTACGATGTAATATCTCGTTTCCAGTAAAAAAGGTCTCCGGGCCTCTACACTCACCATACGAAACACAACGTCTTTAAGCTGCTATTTTATGCTGGTATTCTGTGAGAGCGTGGTCCTTCCCCAGTCGAGCCGACCCCTTCCCATCACAACCATAGATAACATAGCTGCGGCGTGGCTCTAACACCTAAAATTTAATACCATTAATACCACTTTGTAGAGTCATAAAATTTCGGCACGTGATTAATCATACTGTAGCTACAATCATCACTAATTAAATGTTGTTAAATGGTATAATATCGTTATAAAGATGACACATATGATAAAAACTGTATGATCAAACCGACATACATAACGTATTTATGTAATATTAATATATTTCTTGTAAACATAAGTAATGTAATTTAGAATATCTCTTGTAAACACATTTTTTTTACAGAACACGAGTTAACTCTATAAGAACATTGCGATAATCAAAAGAAATTAATGACGTTTTGTAGTTTTGATAATTATTTTATTGTATTTGATAATAATATGTAGTTCTATAGTTTGTTAATGTCATTTGATAATTGGTAATTGTTTGTTCATGATAACGATGTATTTAGAATGAATTGTACAAAGCAATGACTCTACAAATGGAAGTACATAAATTTATATTTTTCATTGTTAAGTGCTTTTGGACTTATTTATTTATTTATTACTTATGAGATCTATCTTTATAGGTTGAACCCAATGCGATAGAGTCCTCTTTTTTATTATAAACTAAGTATTACACTAATGATATTAAAATAAATGTAGCTCAACAAACTTAAAAGTGAAAAAAAAAACACAGTAAAAAAGTAAAATAAAAAATACAAACATGCTATATCAGCTAAAAAACAAAGAAAAAGTTAACGTCATTTTTTGAGAAAAATAAAAATACCCTAACAGTACCTAACATACAGTACCTATATAACACGACTTACTTGGTAGATGCACGCTGAAACGTTTCTTTTAACAATTTACATACATAAACTTCACAAGGATATGCAGACCCGGAACAATTATTTGTAGGCTATAGGTACAAATACTTGTTCCGTGCGGGATTCGAACGCGCTGCCCTTAGCACTGCAACACAATGCTGTGCTGAGCGCCTGCGCCAGCAGTCGAATGAGTCGACTTAGAAAGTCTACGGTCCCAGTAGAATGCTTTTGTGATAATTGTAAATAATTGAAAGAACCGGAGACATTGGTCTAAATATATTTAAAAAAGAATGTGCATTTATTTGTCGTATACACTTGCGAAGTGAAACTTCTTTACGACATATTATTTTTCTTTTTTTACATTTTACATAAGCACCTAGGTTAAATATTAGTATACTATTTTATATCATATCATAGATATATTATATATTCAATAGTTATAATATATCTTTTTGCAAATTTGTGTAAGGTATGTGAGGGTAATATGGTCATTCCGTTAATATGTTCACTTTCTTATACTCGTAACTCAAAAACTACAGCCTTGTTTGCATAGAAAGCTATATGATACGATAGCTCTTAATCCATCAAATAATAAAGAGTCAAAAAGGCTATATCGACGCCATTTTAACAGTTGATATTAAAGCAAATATTTTAGTCGATTTTAGTATGGTGTAGTGTAGTTAGTTTTTTTAAGTTGATTATTCGAAGTGTTCCTAATTGTTGCCAAAGCTTGTTTACAATTTTTTATGAATATATTAGTTAAGGTATACGACTTTGTGTTATTGTATCAATCTTCTCGTAGTTTTGGTTTTATAGGACAACAAAGTTTAAGGAGACCATATTACATTCACGTACCTTATATATATATTTTAGTCGATTTTAGTATGGTGTAGTGTAGTTAGTTTTTTTAAGTTGATTATTCGAAGTTTTCCTAATTGTTGCCAAAGCTTGTTTGAAATTTTTTTATAAATATATTAGATATAGTATACGACTTTGTGTTATTGTATCAATCTCCTCGTAGTTTTGGTTTTATAGGACAGCAAAGTTTAAGGAGACCATATTACATTCACGTACCTTATATATATATTTTAGTGTAGTGTAGTTAGTTTTTTTAAGTTGATTATTCGAAGTGTTCCTAATTATTGCCAAAGCTTGTTTGCAAATTTTTATAAATATATTAGTTAAGGTATACCGACTTTGTGTTATTGTATCAATCTCCTCGTAGTTTTGTTTTATAGGACAGCAAAGTTTAAGGAGACCATATTACATTCACTTACCTTATATATATATATATATATATTTTAGTCGATTTTAGTATGGTGTAGTGTAGTTAGTTTTTTTAAGTTGATTATTCGAAGTGTTCCTAATTATTGCCAAAGCTTGTTTGCAAATTTTTATAAATATATTAGTTAAGTTATACCGACTTTGTGTTATTGTATCAATCTCCTCGTAGTTTTGGTTTTATAGGACAGCAAATTTTAAGGAGACCATATTACATTCACGTACCTTATATATATATTTTAGTCCATTTTAGTATGGTGTAGTGTAGTTAGTTTTTTTAAGTTGATTATTCGAAGTGTTCCTAATTGTTGCCAAAGCTTGTTTACAAATTTTTGTAAATATATTAGTTAAGGTATACGACTTTGTGTTATTGTATCAATCTCCTCGTAGTTTTGGTTTTATAGGACAGCAAAGTTTAAGGAGACCATATTACATTCACTTACCTTATATATATATATATATATATATATTTTAGTCCATTTTAGTATGGTGTAGTGTAGTTAGTTTTTTTTAAGTTGATTATTCGAAGTGTTCCTAATTATTGCCAAAGCATGTTTACAAATTTTTATAAATATATTAGTTAAGGTATACGATTTTGTGTTATTGTATCAATCTTCTCGTAGTTTTGGTTTTATAGGACAACAAAGTTTAAGGAGACCATATTACATTCACGTACCTTATATATATAT